CAAAAAAAAAAAAAAAAAAAAAAAAAAAAATTCCATCATAAACAGGATGAAGTTCCACAACCAAGGATTATCCAGCCCCAAATGTCAATTGTGCTGAGGCTGAAAAAGCCTGACTATACCCAAGCCCTTCTTTTCACCCCTCCTCTGCCCTCCCTGCCTCTGCCTACGGTGGGGACCTCCACGCCAGTCTGGGGTGAGGGGGCCACACAGTCTCCCATACCTTCTGCTGGCACCTGGGGCACACCCACACGCCCTTGGGCGCCGTCTTGAGGGGCGGGTCCAGGCAGCTGAGGTGGTAGGCCCCCGGGCAGGTGCCACAGGGCTGCAGGTTGGCCCCTCGCTTGCAGGCAGCGCAGTGCTCATCATGGGTGATCTCGTTCTGGAAGAGAAGGGAGGGCAGGAGGCAGGTCAGCCAAGCCGGGTCAGCGAGGGCCGGGTCGCCAGGGTCAGGCCCAGGCAGCTGTGTCTGATCCACGTGTGGCCACTCTTCTGCCAACGTTTCCCAGCAAACGTTCTATGGAGACAGAGGGATAAACTCTGGAGGGCGACAGTGTGGGGTCAGGCCTGGACCCTGGGAGGAGGCGGGGCACCCACAGGGCCAGGTTTACTAGGGTCTGGGGCTCTGAGCATCGGAGTCGGGCCTGGTTCTTCTGTGTTAAGACCTGGACCCCAGGTGCGGGCGACAAGGCAGGGTGTCCTGCTGTGGCCGAGAAAACAGCCCTCTCAGGGTCTGTGCTGCACCAGAGGTCCATGTGCGGGGAGCGGGGCCAGTGATGCGTGCAGCACTCCCTCCCCGCCCCCACTGCTTATGTGGACGCTGCCTGGAGGGGCGGCGTGGCCCACTCAAGACCCTGTAGGTCCGGGCGCGGTGGCTCAAGCCTGTAATCCCAGCACTTTGGGAGGCCGAGACGGGCGGATCACGAGGAGATCGAGACCATCCTGGCTAACCCGGTAAAACCCCGTCTCTACTAAAAAAAAATACAAAAAACTAGCCGGACGAGGTGGCGGGTGCCTGTAGTCCCAGCTACTCGGGAGGCTGAGGCAGGAGAATGGCGTAAACCCGGGAGGCGGAGCTCACAGTGAGCTGAGATCCGGCCACTGCACTCCAGCCTGCCGGCAGAGCGAGACTCCGTCTCATAAAAAAATAAAAAAATAAATAAAACATAAAAGACCCCGTACTCTCTGTTCGCCATCCATGTGTCAACAGCATGCTCCAACTTCAGAGCTGGGAAAGAGCAGAGAACTCTCCTCTGGGACGGCCACAAGGACACTGGATGTCCCTGCCGAAGGGGCAGCGCCCTCAGAGATCCCCATCTCCACCCTCTGTGTCATGCAAAGGCCCGGTGGGGGGGGTGGGGAGGGACAGGCAGTTGTCACACAGCAAGCTGAAGGTGGAGTCGGGACCAGCATCCAGACTGCCTGCCTCGAAGCCGAGGCCCTCCCAAGTCTGAGGGCTCTGTGGGGACAGGGCCCAGGGTCCAGGTGTCCCCTGTCCCCAAGCCTGCCCTAGATGAGCACAAGGTGTCTGCAGACAAACACCACCAGGCCCCCCAGCACCAACCTGTGCCATTGCAGGGCTATTGTGAAAATGACACAGCCTAACCGGAGTTGACGGCAATCATCACCTACTGCTTCTTAGAGGCTTGACCGTTACAAATATGCAGGGACTTGAATGTTCTTTTAGAATTAGATCAGAAATTCAGTGAAGAAAAACACTGAATAAATTCTGAGACCATGCCATGAACGAGGTCATGACCAGCCAATGTTCTGGGAATCAGGGATGTGGTGTGTGCATGGGTAGGGGGTGGGGGCCCCACAGGATCACAGAAATGTGGGTGTGTGGGGTGAATCCCTGGGGATTAACAAGTCCAGCCCCTTTTTGGACGGGTCACGGAGGACCAGGGAGGGCCAGCTCTGTCCAGGTCACACTGAGGCCAGTGGAGCCAGGGTGGAGGCCAGGGGGCACCATCTGGCTGCTTCCAGTTGGGCCTTAGTGGCCCCCACAGTCTCTGTATCCTCAGTTCTGAGCAGGGAGGGCTCCTGTTTGAAGCTGACAGCAGAGCCCTGTGGCAACACCCGACTTGACACTGCCTGGCAGGCTGGAAAGCTGGCTGAGTGTTGCACAGAGCTCTTAGCACCTAAGGGCAGAACCGAAAGGCCTTCTGCACCACCCAGGCTCTTTCCCTCTTTCTAGGAGGGACCCTACAAGGACTGTACTGAAAACATTCTCCACCCCTGAGGTGTGAAGACGGAGGGAGGGGACACGTACCTTCCAGCAGGGGTCCTCATTGGCTAGCACAGGGAAGAAGGGCGGAGAACATGTTAGTGGCCGTCGGAGGAGCACGGATCAGGACTGGAGTCCATGAGGCCTCATGTGGCAAGGGCTCTTGCCCCGGGGCATGATGGGAGCATCACAAGGCCCCTGTGATACCTGGGCTCTCACCCCAGTGCATGATGGGAGTATCACAAGGCCCCGTGATACCTGGGCTCTCACCCCAGGGTATGATGGGAGTATCACAAGGTCCCCGTGATACCTGGGCTCTCACTCCAAGACATGATGGGAATATCACAAGACCCCTATGATACCTGGGCTCTCACCCCAGGGCATGATGGGAGTATCACAAGGCCCCTGTGATACCTGGGCTCTCACCTCAGGGCATGATGGAAATATCACAAGGCCCTGTGATACCTGGGCTCTCACCCCAGGGTATGATGGGCCTATCACAAGGCCCTGTGATACTTGGGGTCTCGCTCCTGGGCAGGATGGGAGTAAGGGTCTCTGCCCTGATCACAGCTAGGAGCCACCATGGGAACAGGCTCATGTGGGCCCTGTGCTCACTGAGGACATGGTGGTAGTGAGCTGCCCGGGGAAAGGAACCATCGCTCCAGGAACCCCTCAAAGTGACTTATTTTCAACTCTTTTTTGACTGTAATCCACTCATTCTAGTAAATGATACCAAACCACACATTTTAATGATCGCAAACATAGGTATCTTTCAGGCTCTATATCAGATCTGTCTGCAAATAATGCCACCCAGCGGGAAGAACAGTTCCGGCGTCTGCACAGCACTCGACAGCTCACAACGCGCAGTCACACTCACCCCTCAAGTCACTGTCCCAGCTCTGAGAAGCAGGTGGCTATGGGCCCACTTTCTAGAGGCCCAGGGAGGGATGGTGACATGTTGAAAGCTACACAGAATCCCAGGAAGCTGATCGTCACTTCCTGCCGTGGGACTATGGTTTTCTAACTGAAGAGAACTGGCAGCTTCCTGCTGCTGTCTGAATGCAGGGTCGTGGCTCCCTGAGGTCCTGCACTGGGGCACGGCTGGCAGAGGAGGGAGGGGCACTGCAGACTCAGGTAGAGGCCTCAGGCCAGGTCCCAGCCTGAAAATCTGGCCCAATGCTTTCTATAGAAGGAGCCCTCCACCCAGAACAATGCACACAGCGAGGCAGAGGCAGAGCTGGGCTGAGACCCCCACCCCAGTCTAGCCTGTGCTCTTCCAATGCCCAGAGCAGGCAGAGGAGGGTGGGCAAGGTGTGGGCTGAGTGGCACCAGCCTAGCCCAGGAGTATCAGAGGCTGACTGCGTGCGGGGAAGAGGTCGTCTCCAGGGGAGTGTGGAAGCAGCAGCATCTGGCTGGGTCACACCTGCAGATGCCACATCGGTCATGCTCACACCTATGGCCCAGGCTGTGGACCTCCCCCAGACCACAGCTCCAAGCTCACACACAGGCTGCAGGAGGAGCGGGGAGGTGGGAGGCTCCTCTCAGCATAGCGTCCTCACCTTCCTCTGCCCAGGTCAGCCCAGTGGGAGGCGGGCAGCCCTGCCCAGGCCCAGGCGTGGAGGACCACCCAGGGATGACTCCCCGTGGCCCTGAGCAGCTCTGGCAGAAAGCCTGAAGCCGGTGCTTACCTCTGGCTGTGAGGAACAGGGGGTTGTTGAGATAGCTGGAGGCCAGCCGTTTCCTCTGCAGGGACAGAAAACAAAACACCACACCCCATCGTCTGCAGGCTCTCCTCGGTGGTGACGCCACCCCAGGTCAGGACTCACTCTGGGACAGGGTCCCCACCCAGGGCTGCAGGCTCTGGCTGAACACCCCCTGCCAGGGGCAGAAAGAGGAACAAATACAAGGCAGAAGGACACAGGGATGACTGAGGGCGGGGTGGGGCAGGGAAGTCGACAAAGGCTCTGCCTGCAGGAGGTCTAGGACACCCTCTCTGCACCTGTGGGTGCATCTAGCTCACAAAGGGCCGTCCGTGGAGCACATCAGTCACATGGTGCACGTCACATTCTCCACCTATCTCCTGCCTCTCAACTGGGTCTGGAGTCAGGTGGAGAAATGGGTGTTATAGACTGGCTCCCCCAGATGCCACTTCTTGGCATGTGGCCTTAAACATCACATGTGGACAAAGGTTTCTGGAACATTCCAGAAGAGCAGCCTTAGTCCTGGCTTTGGCAACCACAGGCCACACCGGTCTAGACCTTGGTGGTTCGAAGTGGCTTTGGCTGCGGCTGTCGTAGAACTGTGTTGCTGGATTTGACACCATTTCTCTCGGTGTGGTCAGGCTGTGGACCTGGGGAAGGGCCCCCTTGGGCTGTGTGCCTGTTCCAGGCTCAGGGTCGCGGGACCTTGGGTTGACTCCTGACCTGTTTATACCGTCTCTGGCCCTGGCCTCAGACTTGGGAGCCTAGGGTAACGCCTCGTCCACAGAGCAGCCCGCATTTTCACGAATGAACAAATCTAAAGGAATGGAGCCCTCACTGTCTGGAGAACATACCATTTCCTTGGGTGGAGGCTGAAAACACTTCCACGATGTTCTAAGGGTCCAAGTCGGGGGATAGGGCTTGCTCAGATGAAGGAAGAGGAAGTGAATGGTGTGAAATGGCCCACGTGGGGCACGTTCTTGGAACAGGAGCAGGGCAGGCAGAAGCAGAGGAAAGGCGTGGACAGGCTGACGAGGCCAGAGGACGCCCCACGGTGGGCTCTCCCCATAGACAGGGCAATGGCAGGGCCTGGAACTGGCTGCCACTCTGTGCCAAATACCTCCCTCCCACTTAAGCTCAGGCTCCCCAGACTCAGGATTCCAGACAGTGGCCCAGACTAGCCCGCACCCTGGGAAGTGAGACCGCACTTTCCTTGCCTTCCTGCAGATGTCACAGAGCTGGCGTCTGCAACACACCAGGCACTGACTTTGGGGGACATCGTTTCCCTCAGGACAGCTGCCCCAAGCTCTGGACTTCAGAGCTCTAAGGAAACGGCTTCCATTCCGGAGAAAGGCTCCAAGACACTGCCCCTAAGAAAGCCCTGAGCCTCAGAGCTAAACGTCCCAACAGACCCTGCAGAGCTGGCTTTGGGGAGATGACACTAGGATTTTGACCGAAGAATTCTGGACTGTCATTTACAAGGGCAGGAAGGTATCATTTATGATCTGGTTTTTCCCTGGGGACAAGCTCACGGGAGAGGACCTGGTTCCCCTAAGGCGTCCTGAAGTTCCAACCCTGCTGCACTGGACCCATTTTGGTGCAGGCTCTCGGTTTCCCACCCCCATCCCTGGGGATGGACGCTCCAATTGACAGAAGGGAAGGGCACTGGCCACAACCACCTAGCCCCTTCTGGGCCTTCCTCTATGGTGCTGCCTGCTGCAGGCTGTATACATCCTAAGCCTCTCCCAGCCATGAGTCGACGGCACAGGCTCTAGATGAGGAGTGACACGGTCCAGGCAGGCCAGGGTGTCCAGCCTTGCCTGTGACCCGGGATTTGCCCTATCATTCAGGGTGAAGAGTCTAGAAGCCGGTGCACCTCACATGAAGCCATGCTCCCCAGGGCAGCCTCCATTAGGAATAAACTGACATCTCCTCTTCTGCATCTTCCTATCAATTGATTCTGAACTCGGAGGTGATGAGAGAGGTATTATTTACAGTCATCCCTCGGCCCCACGCCCAGGAGGGAAAGACAAGGCGAGTGGTTAGGAAAGCAAATGAGGGAGGCCCTGGAGCTTTTCCTGGAGGCTGTGCACTGGGAGCCCCCCACCCTCCTGGTGGCATGGGGCTGGCAGGTCCCCCACCTCGGTCTCCAGGAGGCCGCTGTAGGCAGGGTTGGCTGTGCTTCTTCTCTTCCGCTCCTGTCGCTTGCTCTGGATTTCTGGAAAGGCACAGACACAGCAGTTACTGGGTCCTGCCTGCCCTGGGAACCCCAAATGCTTCCTCGTCAAGCCCTGGGCACCACCATCTCCTCCTGCTCTGAAGCCTGTCTGCTCAGCATCCATGCCACAGGGTGGCCCAGGGCAGGTTAGGGCCTCCAGGAATCACTGACTCCATGGCAGGACAGCTTTGGTGGCCTCAGGCTGAACGACAGATTGCAGGGAGGGTGGCAGGTACCCAAAATCCAGGTGCCCACTCTTAGCATGGGGTCCTCCTTGTGTGTCCTTATCTGGCCCATGGCCATTATTTGGGACCTGCAGGATGGCGGATACCCACCGGTCCGGTGATACCCACTGGTCTGGTGATACCACTGGCCCAGTGAGCTGCAGGGTAAGGCTCCCAGCTCCCGGAAGCCCAGGAGCAAAGCTTCTACCCAGGTGGCCCCTGCCCCAGCGCAACCCCGGCAGGAATCCTTCGTGTGCGAGTGAGGGGCACGGCCACCTTGATGGTGTCTTCTTTTCCTCTTTCTTTGCTTTGACCCCCAGGCAGGACCCATGGCCTGCCTCTCCGTGTGCAGCTGTGCTAGCATCTTCTAATCTCTGTCTCCCAGCCCTAGTTTCGCTCCTTAAACCTTTTCAATATTACTCAGCCTGTTTTCTATAAGGCGCTCAGACCTTCTGTGGAAGAACACAGGGTCTCAAGAAAGAATTATTTAAGGATATCACAGCAGAGGCTGGGGAGAGGTTTCCAAATGAGGACAATTTATAAGACCAAGAATGATCACACCTATTTGGAAAGCACTTTGCGCTGTCGCTCACCAATCCCACAAAGTTTACAGGCGCAGTTTTCCCTGTGTTGCAGATGAGGAAATTGAGGTTTGGAGTGGGGAAGCACCTTGCCCAGGGACTCTGGCCAGTGCACAGGCAGGACCTGAGCATAAGACTTCTGTTCCCACAGCCGCATGCTGCCTCCGTGGTGCCGTGGTTTCGGTCGGAGATTAAACCGTTCCCAAAGGCACGCCAAGGGCAGCGGGATTCATCACACTCACGCTCACACCATCAGGCGGGGACTCGCAGATGTTCTTACGGAGGGTTACAAAGGAACCTTGGCTGGAGAGTAATGCCTTCCAACCACGCACGCAGAAGGGAGGGGAAGGCCAGGGGCAAGGGTTGCTTGCAGGGGGCTTCCCTGCCCAGGGATCTGGAAGGCTGGGGCTCTTCCCTGGCCCTCCCCACCCGGGTTGCTGCCAGGGAGCAAGTCAGACCCAGGCGACATGAAGGGACAGGGCTCTCTTCTTGGAGCCTGCATGGCACACTGGGGTCCCCGCGTGCTGGGCTCTGCTGAGCTCGGGAATGCTTGCTCTGCTCCCACTTGCCCCGGATAAGCTGTATGACCTCAGCCAGGTCCCTCCCTTCCCCTGGGCTTCGGTCGCTCACCTGCTGCCATAGAGATAAACTACCTTAAAGACCGCTAGTGCCTCGGGCACTGCGGGGGTTCACTTCATTCCTTCTCGCGTTTAGGGAGAGGAACGTCAGCGAACCTTCCTGCATCCCGGTTTACCAGGGTACATGCTTCCCCTTTATGAAACGCCTTTGCAGGTGAGATGGGTGTGGTGGAAAACGTTCTGGGTTGGGAGTTAGGAGGCCCGGATTCCAGCCTGGGCCTGGTATTAACTGGCGAGGGAATCAGCTTCCCTGGCCTCGGTTTCCCCATGGGGGCTTCTCCAAGGGGGCTGGTTTTGAGGCTTCCCAGGTCCTAAGATTCTACGACAATGTTCATGGCTCACTTGAGATCGCCCTTGTCATTCTGCGATGATGTTCATGGCCCATGTGAAGCTGCCCTCATCATTCCGAGATGATGTTCACGGCCCACATGAAGCTGCCCTCATCCATAAGGTCACACAGCCCCTTCGTAGAGTCACAGTCCCGTCTGCTCAAATAAACTACTGTTCCAATTTTGATGGACACATTTGGTGGCACACATGAAGTCCGCAGGCTAGTCTGACGGCAGGCGAGCTGGTGGCCAACTCTCCCACTGTGCTGGGCACTGCTTCCAACAATCCCCCAGACAGTTCAGCCACCACCCATTTTACACAGGAAGAGACTGAGACACACAGAAGTAACCTGCCCACACTTGAGAAAGTGGCGGGAACGGGCAGTCTGCCTCTTGTCATTTCCCTGTGTTGAGGACAGGGAACCCACACGGTCCCTCCGCTGAAACGAGGAAGTGCCACAGTGGGTTTTGTGCATAGTCATGGAACCAGGGCGAGCCTGGAAGGTTTCTCCGTCTTGTGTGTCTTTGATGACAGCCACCCAGCCTCAGGCACTTGGGGCAGACCTCCTGGGAGGTGGTTCATACACAGACGCTGCCATCTGAGCCAGGACATCCTGAGACCCACTGCAGCAGTGTGAAGCCACGCTCCACCCACACCAGCTGCTGCTGAGGCCCAGACCGCCCGACATCACGCCTGGCCCCCAACACCCCGGCTTTCGGGTCAGTCCCAGCCCAACTTGCTGCTACCTGGATCCTTCCTTACCTTCCAAGTGTTCCGTGGTAACCAGGCCTAGCGCTACCATGAAGGCGATTTTCTGAGGGAAGGAACAGACAAAGGAGCATTAACACAAATGTCAACGTTCATCCATGCACTCAACAAACATCTGCTGCGGCAGGTGCAGGGCGATACTTCATGGTGCCCCAACCGCAGAGACCCCCAACTCCAGACGCCAAGTCAGTTTCTAAGAAACATGGGAAAATAGGATTCCCAGAGAGAGCATCTACAACTCAATTTGGAGGAGCTCCTTGAAAACACTGGATACACATATTCAAACACACTTTAAAGGGCGAAGGTGCACATAGCTGGGCTAATCCTTCTGGGTACCCCAACGGCTGAGGCCTCCAACTCCAGACACCAAGTCAGTTTCTAAGAAACACAGGGAAATAGGATTCCCAAAGAGAGCATCTGCAGCTCAATTTGGAGGGGCTCCTTGAGAACACTGGATGCATGTATTCAAATATACTTTATCTTTTTTTTTTTTTTTCCTTTTTGTGGAGAACGGGGTCTCGCTATATTACCCAGGCAGGTCTCGAACTCCTGGGCTCAAGCTATCTTCCCACCTCTGCCTCCCTGAGAGCTGGGATTACAGGCGTGAGCCACCACGCCTGGCCTCTCAAATATACTTTAAAGAGCTAAGGTGCACATAGCTGGGCTAACCACTGTCACTGGTTCGTAACACTTTTGCTCCACTGGTCCTTTCATGGCTTTCATTTATTTAATAATAAATTGAACATCATGAACCTACTAATAAACTCAAAACCTGATAAGTTGCATCTCTTCTGTGTTCCTCCCCTTATCTCATTCTTTTTACCCTCATTTCTAGTGATCCTAATCCTTCTCGTTTTGTAATGACCATTTCCTTGACTTTGTATACACACGCATATATTTCTATCACTTATGAAACAGGGTGGCACTTAGTTTTATTTTATTTTATTTTGTTTTGAGACAGGGTCTCTCTCTGTCGCCCAGACTGGAGTGCACTGGAATAATCACGGCTCACTGCAGCTTCAATCTCTGGGGCTCAAGTGAAAGTGATCCTCCCGCCTCAGCCTCCTGAAGAGCTGGGAGCACAGGTGCGCACCACTGTGCCCAGCTAATTTTTGTATTTTTTGTAGAGATGGGGTTTTGCCACATTGCCCAGGCTGGTCTTGCAAGCCTGCCCCAGCCTCCCAAAGTGCTGGGATTATAGACCTGAGCCACCATGCCCAACCCTTACCTGTTTTTGACTTGTGAAAAGGTCATGACGCTGTATTGTCTACAGAGCTCACTAGGGCATTTTTTTTTTCATTCGACATTCTTCGGTGGTGAAAGGTAGAAATTTAGAATGGCCCCCGAGCCCCTAGCCTGCAGTGTGGCCACACCATATCATTCCCTGCCTTGAGTGTGGGCAGGACTGAAAATACCATGGGATTAGGTAACATCACAGGGCGAAGAGGTGCTGGAACCACTCCTGTGGCATTTATGTTACATAAGATCCCTGTTGGTGACTGGAGTGAGGCTCTCTTGCCGGCCTCGAAAGAGAGCCTGCCAGGGGTTCTGCGGCCACCATGCTGTAAGACGACTAACCCCAGAGCCTCACTCAGGGCCAGCCACAGAGTAGGTGCTCATGAGTATTTGATGAACCCGTGACTCAGTATTTCCTTGTCTGGGATATGACTTGCAATATATTTTCCCCGTTTATCTTTTATTGATGGGACTGGCTTATTTATTGTAGCTTCAGATTTACAGGGAACTTGCAAGATTCATTCCTGAGAGTTCCTGTATACCCACACCCAGTTCATCACAACTAAAGAGCCAACATCAGTACATTATTATCAGCTAAAACCCATATTTTATTTGGATTTCTTTAGTCTTGTTTGTTTTTTAGAGACAGGGTATCACTCTGTCAACCAGGCTGGAGTGCAGTGGCTCACTGCAGCCTCAAACTCCTGGGCTCAAGCAATTCTCCTGCCTCAGCCTCCCAAGTGGCTAAGACTACAGGTGCACGCCACCACACCCAGCTAATTTTTAAATTTTTTGTAGAGACGAGGTCTTGCTATGTTGCCCAGGCTAGTCTCAAACTTTTGGCTTCAAGCGATCCTCCCACCTCCGCCTCTGGAAGCGCTGGGATTACAGGTGTGAGCCACTGTGCCCAGCCCTTCGTTTTTCTGTTCCAGGATCCCACATGGTATTTAGATACCATGCTTCCTTGCACTCTTCTGGGTTGTGAGAGTTTCTCAGCAAGTTTTTTTTTTTTTTTTTTTTTAATGACCTGGACAGCTTGAGGAGGACTGGTCAGGTATTTTGCAGAAGCACCCTCACTTGGAATTTGTCTGGTATTTTCCTCATGAGTGCAGAGGGGTGGTGTTTGAGGAGGAAGACCACAGAGGTAACACACCTCATCACATCAGAGCAAGGGCACAGACCATCCACCTGTCTCATCACTGCTGGTGACCCTGGTCACTGGCTGAAATGTGTCTGCCAAGCTCCACTCAAAGTCACTGTTTCTGCGCCCGCCCCCCGCCCTCATACCGTGCTTGCTGGGAGTCAGTCACCATGGACAGCTCACACTTAAGGAGCTGGGAATCAGGCTCCACTCAGGCTGGGCTTTTTTTCATCTTGTTGCCATTCATCTCCATATTTTTTTTAAAAAAAGTATCAGTTTTTAAATTGTAGTTAAAATTTTAAAAGTACCAATTTTTAATTTTTAAAATTTTAAATTAAATTGTAATACAATTTATCAATATTTTCTTTTGCAGTGTTTTTATTTTTTGGATCCTGGCTAGAGGTGCTGAGGTAATAAAATAATTTTAGTCTCTATAGTTTCACTTTTTACATTTAAATTTTTGATCCATTTGGAACGGATCCTGGTGTGCACGGTGGGAAGTGGGGGCTCACTGCTTTCTGTGTGGCTACCATTTGTTCCAATACCACTTACTGAAAATTCCATCTTTCCATGTTTCACTGACTTAAGGAGCCACTTTAATCATACACTAAATTATCATAGATTTATTTGGGTCTATTTCTGGGTCTTCTGTTTTGTTCCTTAAATCTGCCTCTCCAGGAGCTACTGCCACACGTTCCGTTCTCAAGGCTTTAGGGTCTATTTTAATAGCCGGGAGGATTAGAATATCTCTTCACTGTTTTTCCTGTTCAGTTTCCTGGCTCTTCTTATTTTTTATGTGAAATTTAGAAACCATCTTAAGGAGTTCTAAGAATGAGGGAATCAGTTGGTGGATTTGCTGGAATGTTAAAATTATAAATTAACTTTGGGCATAATGACAGTTTCATATTGTTAAGTTTTCCTACTTAAAGCTATGACATGCCCCTCTGTTCTTATTCTTCTGTTTTTGAGACGGAGCTTCGCTCTTGTCACTTAGCCTGGAGTGCAATGGCGCAATCTTGGCTCACTGCAAATTCCACCTCCTGGGTTCAAGCGATTCTCTTGCCTCAGGCTCCCAAGTAGCTGGGATTACAGGTACCTGCCACCAAGCCCAGCTAATTTTTGTATTTTTAGCAGAGACAGGGTTTCAACATGTTGGCCAGGCTGGTCTCAAACTCCTGACCTCAGGTGATCTGCCTGCCTTGGCCTCCCAAAGTGCTGGGATTACGGGCGTGAGCCACTACACCCAGCCTCTTCCTCTTTCTTCTTCTCTTTTCTTCCCTCTCCTTCATTCTTCTTCTCCTCCTCCTCTCCTTCCTTCTCCTTCTTTTCTTCTGTCTTAAGGGGTTGTAAATTTTTCCTCAAATAGCTATTGAATATTTGTATTATGTTTATTCATGGCATTTAATCTTTTTGCTGCAATCGTAAATGGGGTTGTGTATAAAAAGCTTCTAACAGGTTGCTGTGTTGCTGTGAAGATTAGTGATATTTTTACATTAATTTTACACCCTGCTGCAATGCCAAATTCTCTTATTGTCTGCAGCTTTTTCAGCCATTCTCTTGGGTTTTCCAGATCATCTTGAATAGTTTACTCCTTTCCAATTTTTACTTCTATGCTGTTAAAAATAGTTCTTTAATTTTTCAGCTTTAAAGGGTATTTTCTGATTCATTTAAAGTCCCAACTGCTACAGATAAGCTAATCTGAGAACTCTTTCCAGTTCCCACCTTCTTTGCCTCCTTCTCCTCTCAATTTTACTTAAATGAATCTTTTATGTATTATCGGAGCACATCATATTTAAATTCTATTCTGACATCCTCACCCATAGTTAAATACATCTGATGCTCACCCCAACGCTGGTACCAAAGTTTCCCCGTGTCTCTTGGTTTCTTGGGTTTGGGCCTCCAGCAGTTTCTCATAAATGGCTCACGGAACATTTCCTGAGTTCTCCAAAGATTTACAACGTTTTTTTGTCGCCCATACTGGAGTGCAGTGGCACGATCTCGGCTCACTGCAACCTCCACCTCCCAAGCTAAAGCAATTCTCCTGCCTCAGCCTCCTGAGTACCTGGGATTACAGGCACCCGCCACCATGCCAGCTAATTTTTGTATTTTTAGTAGAGACAGGGTTTCACCATATTGACCAGGCTGGTCTCAAACTCCTGACCTCAAGTGATCCGCCTGCCTCGGCCTCCCGAAGTGCTGGGATTACAGGTGTGAGTCACTGAGCCCAGCTAGATTTACAACTTTTTATCTGTAGCCTTTAAACTTGGACAGCTTGGCTGCATATGAAATCCTTGGCTCATTCTTTATTTATTATCTTGCAGATGTTACGCTAGTGTATCCTGGAATTGAATGTGGCGGTGGAAAAGTCAGACACCAGCTGAACTGCTTTCCCTCTACAGTCAGTAACTTCACTGGGTGTCTCAGCGTTGCACATTTTCTCCAGGGAGCACACATCAGCTTTCTTTGGGATCCAATGTGTCCTTTCAAGATGCAGATTATAAAGTCTTTTTAAAAGTTCAGGACATTTTCCTTGAATTGTATTCCAAAAAGTGAAGCATCACCATACCATGAAAAGTGGGGTCCGTCAAATTCAATCCTGTGAGATGTGCACTCACACAGCCATGGAAGACCACTGGAGTGACTGAGGGGGCTACAGAGCTGCCTGACTG